ACGCCGTCGCCGGCGACTCATGGCAGCCCAGCTCCAGGTTGAGCTGTTGTTCAGCATCTTAGCTGTGGAGGGCAGTGTCATTGGCCCTCATATGTGGGATCCGAACCGGGGCCCTCTGGCATCCCAAGCGAGTTCTTAACCATCGCGCCACTCGGCTGGCCCCCCGGTGTGTTGCTTTTACTGCATTCTATGGAGTTGGGGAAGCGGCCTTTTGAGTTTCAGTTGGTCCATGGATGTGACTGGCTGGAATCTGCTCTCCCTTGTCCACCTTTCCCTGCTGACCCCTGATGATGTAACCCACGGCGGGTATAACTCATAGTCAGGTGTTGCTTTCAGCGTAGAGCATGGAGGTGCTTTGACTTCATCTCATCTCCTAATGGCATTATAAATCCCTGTTGAGGCCACTAGGTCTTCCATCTAGCTTGCAGCCTATCCTCATCTTCAGCTTTGGGGGTCAGTTCTCCATACTAACTGACCTGCATTGGCTCTCAACTCAGGATCCACATCACCTGAGGCTGAAGGGTCCAATTAGTCCCTCTTTCCTAAGTGTATTTCTCTGCTCTTTCAGCAAGGCTGGGCAGTCCCATGTAGGTGTGGAGCCTCTGCACTACACAGTCTACGTTCTCTCCCTCTGCCCTCAGTGGTACCTTTACTTATCACTCCCTTTCTGGGCCAAAACTTAAGAGGGGAAAATTGGGACACAGATCTTTCTTACTGTCTCTTTTCTCCTTTCTTCTGTTCCCAGAGCTGGATAATGGTAGATTTTCTTTCTACTTCCTTTGTATCAGTACTTCTGAAATTACCTGTGAGAAAGGTACAATTTTTATTTTATTACTAATGTGTTACAGCCCAATACTTTTAAAAAACATGAACTAGTAGAAAAATGAAATAAAAATTAAAATATACTATAAAAGCCCATCTTTTACTTATTAGCGTCAACAGACATAAAATAATTCTATCAAATTGTTGTAAGAATTTCTAAACACTTTCAATTCAAGTACTTATCCGTCCTGGGCCAGTGAGAGAGTCTGTGAACTGGCCCACTTTGATTCATGGCTTCCTTCCTGATTCCTGCTAAGCTTTAGTAGTGACCTTGGCATCTTCTCTAAATTGTAGGAGAGCATTGTGAGCATTGGGTCTCTTGAACTGACTCTTAAGATGTGAATGGAAACTAAAGGAAGTTGGAAAATACTCTTCACAGGACCAGGATCTGTCTTGCAAGGCTGTTCTCATGCTCAAAATCTGATTTTTTTGAATGCCAGAAATGAAATATTACTTTCCTTTTTACATTTCTACTGTCATTAATTCTAAATCCCCATGGCAGATGGGTACCTTGGGTGGACTAAGTGAAGGTAATAAGCTCAGACAGGCAGAACAGGAGAGCACATTTATAATTTTCAGACTCTTATCCCTCTTATACTAATTTGTAACACTGGGAAAGAATGAAAGAAATACTTAGTTTTGTTAGTCGACTCTGATTTTTGCTGGAGATTTTATTGCTTCAGTGAGGGGTTAATGTTATTTTCTTCTCAAATAGCCCCAACCTTCATCTACTCATTTTCTTTCTTTTCATAACTAAGAAAGCAAATGTTAAGAAAATGATTATTTCATAAATATTTAATGATGGCCAAATAGTAAAAGTCATAAGGTATTTCTGATTTCTGTTTTCTACAGGAACTAAAGTTAAAAACAGAATTGGAAGTAGGTCTAAAACTGAAAGCTGAGGACCTTGATGCATTGAAGATGAAAAGGAGAAAATGTTCGTTTGGAAATATAGACCAAGTCCAGGTTTGTCAATTCTATTTAGTGTTTTCTGGTTTTTCTTCTATTTGATGAATGTCTAAATAGAGGTAAAAAGTGGTGAACTCTGAATAAAATCTTCAAACACTAGATTTTACCACTTGAGCGCAAAATTTCTAATGTTTTGAAACTTCTGTTATTAAAAAATTACTTTCTTATCCAGAAATGTGCAGCATTCTTAATTCAATAGAAATGGGTTTATTTGAATGCTGTGGAATGTAAACATGAAATCTATGTTCACTCGATTATATTTATTCCCATGTCAAAATGGGTTATTCTCGTGGAAACAGATATATTTCTAAAAATTAGAACTCTCCATTCAAACATAATCAAATTGTATATGCACCATATACAATATATTAAAAAGCTATTGTTTTAGTGCCCCACATTTTAAAAAAATCCATAAACTAATATAAAAATTCAAAGAAACAAAATTTAATTTTATGTAAATTTAAAATGGCAGTTCTAAAAATCTTACAGAAAGAAAAATACTGCACTTAAAATTGTAATTACACTCAAATGTAAATATATCACCTTAATTCTAAAAAATTATTTACCCTCTCTTCCTAAATTTTATATATTACATTGTAATAGTAAAATTTAGGACATGAATGTACAGCAGGTCCTCAAATAATGTCATTTCATTCAACATCGTTTCATAATAATGTTGATGAGATGCCATATGAACTTAACTCTTGTTTATATCAATTAGCCTGTGGTAAAATTGGTTTCATTATACATAGTTTTGCTTAAAGTCACAGAATCTACTGACCATGTTAAGTGAGAACTTACTGTATTCCCAGTTACTTATTTTACTAGTGTATTTTAGAAATTGGTTAAAGAACATTTCTGGGTGGAAAGGGTATGTGGGAGAGTAGGAGAGAGGAACACAGAACAGTGAGACGTGTTTTTAGAACGTTAGGGATCCAAATTTTAAACGAATACAGTAATAAAGAGATTCCTGCAGCTTGCACTGACATGTTGATTAAAAAAACCAAACACTTCATGTTTTTTGATGTTGCAAAATAAAAACCCATTTTTCAGAATTTGACTCTTAAGCAAGGACAAGATTATAAATTAATCAATATGAGTGTCCAGAGAGCTTATAATAGGATACTGATTTGATAGGAAGCTCCTTTATAAAAAGAAAGTATTTAAAATTAGAATTATATGGTAGGAAGTTTTGCTATAAAAAGAGAAAAGAGAAATCAAGAAATTTTCCGAAAATTTACAAGAACAGTGAATTACACAAATTATAACCTTTATTTTATCAGATGCAGGAAAATCCATTTATTATTGTTTCCCTAAAAAACCCTGTAATATATTAGCAGACTCCTACCCATTCTTCAAAACACAAGTCAAATATTACCTACTCTGTGGCGTTGGCACTGATATTTCTTCCATTTCTCAGAACCAATCCATTTTTGCTTACATGGTATCTAGGAGTTAGCATTTATTATCAACAATCATATTTTTTTCTTCTCTCCTGTTGGAATGGAGCTTAAAAAAGATCTGTTGTTCATCTTTAAAACCCCACTCAGTCAAGGAATGTAGAATATGTTTAATTACTAGACTTCATAGGGTGTCATATGTAGACTTTCTATGTATAGCTGGATATAGCAAATCTAACATATTTCTATAGTTGCTTTGGTATATCCTTTCTGTTCCTAAAAATTGTAGAACTGTTTTAGGCTTCTGTAATATTTAGATGTGACAGTGATATAGGACCGTACTATCTCAGTCTGGATGGAAGACTGCATAGCTCTGGGTCTACTTCGCCATGGCCACTTTGCTCTTTTTTTTCTCATGCATATTTACTATCTCATTGTCTTAATGTAGATATCTAGGAGCCGTTTTTATCAACCTTGAGAAAAACTGGAAAATAGTACGATATTGATTTGTCTTATTGTTGTTTAGTTGACATTGCTTCATTACAATGTCCACAGTGCAAATGGGCACTTGGTTGAGTTCATCTTACACAGTCATATTCCATTCATATATATATATTTTTAAAAAAATTTTATTGGGGAATTGGGGGAAGGGGAACAGACAAGTTGCTGTCGTTTTTTGTTTTTCAGTCTAGTTGTGGAGGACGTTGCCTCACTGGCCCAACTTGGCACCATCATTGTGCTCTTCCCGGGCGAGGCAGATCAGTTGCCAGCTTCTGGACGGCTGCTCACGGCGGCTGCTGGCCGCTCACGCTGGCTGCTGGCTACACACGGTAGCCCATGGCAACCTACTGCAGCAGGAGCTGCAGCCTATGCCATCGCCAGTGACTCATGGCAGCCCAGCTCCAGGTCGAGCTGTTGTTCAGCATCTTAGCTGTAGAGGGCAGTGTCANGCTCAATTGGTTAAGAGCTCATTCAAGAGTTTGAGCTCTGAGCAATAGCGGTCCGAGTCCCGGCCCAAGCTGAGCAGGTGTCAGGATGGCTCAGCAAAAAAAAAAAAAAAAAAAGATTTATTGATACCTTTAGTCAGTAGTATGCTAAGCCCTGATGTGCTTTATCTTATTTCTTTTTTTCTCCTACATTTTCAACTTTTCTTTTTCTCCTAGAATCTTTCTTTCAACATCTCAGATTTTTTCTCATCCTAAAATTATCCTCCTTCAGACTTATACTACTTTCTCTTTTCTACCCTTTATAACCAAACTTCTTGGAAAAAAGTTTATTGCATTTGCTTCCGTTTTCTCTACTTCCATTCATTCTCTTATCCTCTCCACTCTGACTTCTGGCTCCCAGCTCTACCATCCATTTCAAAGCTCTGAGAAGTTCACTAGTGTTCTTGGTCACTGAAGTCTTTATCTTAACACCTCAGTTGCATCTAGCACAGTTTACTGGTCCCTCCATTATGAAATATTTTCTCTTTTGCCTTTGTGAAATTATTTTCTCCTCTTTTTCTCTTTCTGAGTGCTTGTTCTCTGTCTTTACTAGCTCCTCCTACACCGTCAGCCCTTTACACATGGAAATTCATCAAGGCTGTAGCCTGAGCCCTCTACTCTATACTCTGTCCTGGGCGACCTCATCTTTTTCCATGGCTGCAGTTAAACTCTGACAACTCCCAAATTTATCCATAATCCCAGATTTGCTCTTTGAGCTCTGGATTCATATTCAAACCACTGATATCTTTATTAATTGTCCTATAGATGAATTTATGGTCATCCTTACTTGCCTCCCCACTATTCCCCCTCTCTGCTCCTTTCATGGGGTAGAAAATATAGTTTTCCAATGTGCCTTACATGATATCTCAATCTATTCAGCTGTGTAAGCTAGAAATTTGGCAGTCATCCTTGACTCTGTCCTCTTCCTCATCTCCCATATCCAACGAACCACTAAGTCATATAGATTGTATCTTCTAAATGTCTTGAATCTGTTCAATTCTCATCTCTACTGCCAACAACCTAGTCTGTTACAGTCCTTCCAAATGTGAGGATCGGGGCTGCCTTGTCAGACTTGTGGTCTTTGGGTCTCAGCTTCTCTTCTCTCATAGGCTGGGCTTAAACTGACCAGACATAGCACTTTTTAACTATGCTTAGGGAAAAGTGAAAACTTTTGGTCAGAGTGCATAGACTGCTGAAATGCAACTCTGCCTGTAACTTAACTTTTTACATTCTTATGTAGAACAATTTTGTTCCTTTAGCCACATTTCACATTGTAGGGAAATGACCCACTTAAGGGGGAGAATGAGTATTCTAGAAAAAGGAAGTTTCCCCAAGGATATATTGAAGTCTGTGCTACTTCATGCAAAAACAGAAAACCGGCTCACAATCCCAACCTAGCATCTTGCCCTCTGTTTGGAGCTAACTTTCTGACACTCCTGTTTGTCCATTTTCCATTCAACTAAGCCATTTCAAGAAAATATTACGACTTCTGCATAGGTTCTCAGAGCAGCAGTTCTTAACTGAAGTCCATGGATGAGCTATGAAGAAAAGGTATGGGAACCCTGAAGTTGTGGGACATAGTATGATCTTGGGATTTTTACTTCTCTAAGCACCAATTTCCTCATCAATAAAATGGAGTTTGTTTGATCCTGTCTCATAGGATTATTGCGATGATTAAATAGGATACTTAAATCAATGTAAAAAGCCTAGCACAGTGCCTGGCAGTTATTTTAATATTATAACTGGGATTATAATATAAGATAAAGGCAGTAATGTCTACGGCAATATATAGAAGAGGGAATTAGACCTACTGCAGCATCCTCTTAAAGCATATGTGGAAGAATAGGAATAGAAGAGAGTCAGCTCCAAGTATAAAGTGCCTTTATTTCAGCATCCTGAAGTTGCTGTAACTATGATGGGCAAAATTATAATAACTATGAACTCTAGATCTAGGGAAGCATGAAAAATTGATGGGTAGTAAATATAATAGGGTCCAAATTCACTCATAATGCATTTCTACCTCAGGTGAGCATAGAAAATTTATCTATTTAGTCTGTCGCAGACCTATGTTCTTTATGACACCCTCCACCCTGCCTAATCCATGTCACGGTAATTACTGGAAATGTGGAACTAACCAAAGGTCTAGTCTGTTTAAACCTTTTCTGGTAATTTAAACATTTCCTTTAAATAATTCTCAGCTCTCTTGAATAAGAATATTCAGTCTTTTAGCTTCTTTCTCCCTGTGCTTCTCTCCCTAAGACGGAATCCGGTATACGTGGTGGTCCAGTGTGTTGCTTTTTTTTTTTTTTTTAATTGGGGAATTGGGGGGATGGGAACAATGCTGGGGAATTGGGGGAAGGGAAACAGACAAGTTGCTGTCGTTTTTTGTTCTTCAATCTAGTTGTGGAGGATGTTGCTTCACTGGCCCAAGTTGGCACCATCATTGCGCTCTTCTCTGGNCGCCGGCGACTCATGGCAGCCCAGCTCCAGGTTGAGCTGTTGTTCAGCATCTTAGCTGTGGAGGGCGGTGTCACTGGCCCTCCTATGTGGGATCCGAACCGGGGCCCTCTGGCATCCCAAGCGAGTTCTTAACCATCGCGCCACTCGGCCG